TAATGTTAATCATCAACATTATTGTGAACACTAAAAGTAAAATCTTAGGCAGTGGCTCTCTCCCACATAAAGGTCACCTACCCAGGTGAGAGACCATGTAACTATGACAAAGCGAAGAAGTTTGACTGCCAGTTAGGAACATTAGCTACAGTAATATGATCCCTGTATTGGAAAACAATGAAGAAGCCCAATGCAAGGCTATTGAATTACCAGCTGATCTTTGTTCTGACCTTTCTGTGGTCACATGCTTTCCATAGTGACCGAATGGCAGTGACAAGTGATTGATTGAGAAATTGACCAGATGAGGGGGTCATCAATAAGAGTTGACCTCGGTAGGAAGCCAGTGTCACCTCTCTTTGGAGGCGTACAGAGCTAAAGGTGCAGAGGGACTATTTGGTGGGGGAATCTGGAATAATTCAGGGGGACAAAGCTGGACAGGGGCCCTGGATGATTTTAGAGATAGTAGATACTCAGTGTGTTAAAGCTTCTGTTTAGCTGTTGTCAGAGGGCCCAACATTTTTTGCTTGACCAACTATGAACAGAGGAACCTGAGAAAGATTCTTGGGTAAAACATGCCTTGGATACTCAGCTCACCCAAGCATGACCCTGACTAAGATAAGCAGCATGAAGATGGATGGATGGGTGGATAGATGGATGAATGGATGGATGGATGGATCACTTTCTAGCCCACTCCAACCTAAATAATTGTTTGTCAACAATGGTAAACATTACTGTATTAAATCACATTAACTCAATTAATGATTCTGTCTTCCGTGTTTAGTATAATTTTAAGATGAGGAAAAAATATTGCTTTGGCATTGCTGTGTATCATCAGGCCCATCCTGCAAATTTAAGATTCAGGTTAAATTTACCATAATGACGTTTTCATTTGGCTTTCATAGACCCTTTTAATAGTTCAGGTTTTGTCCATTCAACCATGCTGAAGTAAAAGGAGTTGTCTTTCTTTAAGTCATAACAGGAGCGACTGCACCTATTAAAATCTGTCATTTGAGTAGGGAATGGCTTTTAGACTGTAATGTATTAATGTGATGTGCATGAGAGAGTTATGTCTGTCAATATGGGTACCATTTTCTGGAGAGGAAAAATCTGCAGTAGTATTGTCTTTAATCTGGCCTAGACTTTTGTCAGCTGCACAGCTTGCAATTGTTATCACACTGACAAAAACACACAGATGTAAGCAAGTATACCCACAACACCCTGAGGAGGAAAACATTGCATCATAGCTGCTGAAAATGAATGCAGACTTAAATGGAAAGCGGTGAGACATGAAATGCATACAGAAAGAAAAACTGTGCTGTAAGCAAATTATCTTTTTGGACTAATCTCACTACCATAGACGAGAAAAGGATCAGGCAGGCAATACATTATTGATTTAAAGTTAATGTTCACTGATACTAACTGCAATCACTGGTTGAGGTCTCGAAATACAAGATGGATAAAAGATGAGAAATGGAGTGCGAGGTCATGGGAGGTGGGAAGCAGCTTACAACACCCTTTGTGAAGAAGTAGCATTTCTGAAGTTGAGGATTTAAAGTGTGATGTTGACAAAAGACCTATCTGAAGACTTTGATAGGAAGCCTTTGGAAGGATGTAGAAAAAAACCAAAGGAATACATCAACGGCTATGTAATGGTAACAGAAAGCTACTTTTTGGACATTAAAACACAGGTGAAATCATTGGCCAATAGTGGGTTATGAGAGATATATTGTATTAGCATGTTGGCAAACATGCAAATACCACAGTTTTCAGCAGATACCCCAGATTATTTCATTGAGCCGAGCATGAACCTGCTGTAATGTGTTATTTGTCCTGCAAAGCAATTAATTAAAGATAATCCCATGCTTCGATAGCCCACATGTGAATTCCCTCTGTCATAGTATTTATTTGCCTTCCATAAAACAAACGTGTAAAAATTATTTTTTGACTCGAGCTCAGAGACAAACGTCGCATGTCAGTGAGGCTACAAAGGCTTGTGAATATCATCTGGCACTGTGCTTCCCCCCCGGTGGTGTTAACAAGACATGAGGATTTGCTGTGAAAGGTCAGTCAGAGGGCAAGTGTGGATGGATACTCAATTTCCAATGTAGTACAATGAAGCAAACAACTCTAAAATGTATAGCTTGTCTGCAGTGCAGTGGAGTTCATTTCAGTACTGGCTGTATTTTTACCACGCTCCCTTGTTTCCATTTGGTATATATGTGTGTGCACAACATATAGCATCTGTGTGTACATATTTTTTGCATTATAGGACATCGCTACCATGCCAGAGAAAATCTGCTGTATACTATCTAGTTTACCTAGATATCTGGCTCTTGTTATTCAGCTCTGCGCCAACACAGATCTCGTTAATCGCTTTGACAAACATTGCATCTCTAGTGTTCCATAAATCAAAGCAGGATACAGTTGTGGCTCCATCAGCAGGGCCTAATCTGAATGTATCAGCTGGTGTCAGCTCAGGGACAGAAAATCCATATGCCTTCTGTGTGTCTAGTTTGCTGTATTGTATTTATATATTGTTTTGTCCTGCTTATGACATAAGGTCGTGTTGACCAATCTGCAAACAAAGCCAGCTGGTAGGAGCTAAGGAAAAAAGCCTAGCAGACAATATTAGCTGCAAAGTAGAGCATATATTACAGTGAATATGTGCACCATCATATAATACGCTTACAGGGGTAGAAGTATCTTAAAACTAGTGAGTGGAAATCTATTTAAACCAACTCTAAAAAAAAGATTTAGAGATTAAAAACCATAGTTTACAAACATTATTCCTCTTCAGATTACTAAATTCAGGACAAGTTCATTTTATGGACAGACATCCACTGAAGAACCACTCAGTTGTTACCACACAAAGCTAAGATTTAATAAGTAATCTCATACATCAGGTACAAGTGCTTTTCTGTCTGAATGGGAGTGGTAGACATTGGGTTTTCAGTGGAACATTACTGCCATCTAGTGTTTGCTGAGCAACTGCTTGCGGGCCTGAGAATACACCACTGATGGACATACAGTGTTTGTGGTACACGGCCATTTTATATTGTTTCTTGATTGAAAATTGAGGAAGGGAGAAAGCTATGGGTCAGTGAGTCGTGGAAAACAAACTGAGAATTGTTCTTGCCTTTCTCAACAACCAGCCAAGGCATTTAACCCGTAGTAAAGCTGCCAAGTGCGAACAACTGAAGACTGCTGATTATGAATGACGCACACACACTTAGAATGTATGATGTACAGACATTCATACATTCTCTGTATGAATGTGTGCACATGTGTTACTTTACTGTGACGGTGTGTATGGGGCTGAGACAGATCATCTGAACAGAGCAGTGAGTTTGAGGACTACCCTTGATTTTTCTGGCCAATGCTGAAAGCTGGACATCACAGGACACATTTATTTGTGGTACTATAAAAGAAATGTTCTTATTTGAATGTCTTAAATATGTGTAGTTGGATGCTCACATTGCTTTTCCAAAAGCGTTTTCCGGCATGCAAATCCGTACATCTTAGTTTCTTCTTAGTTTGACTGAATCTCTGAATCATGGACTTTTATAGGCGCAGTCTCATACAATGTGACAATATTTGTTTAACTTACTGTACTTTCAATAGATGCAGACTTTAGAGTGACATTGAGCGGGGATTCCTGCACCATGATGAGGTTTGCCTCCATAGTAGAGGATAAATGATTGAACCTTCAACAGCCAGCAGAGGGAGATAATAATGTATGCTGATAGTAGGGTCATGGTATTAAAATCTCTACGGAAAGATCTCCCGTGAGTAGGTTATGTTATGGGAGGTTTCAAGGTGAAATCACCAGCAATCTCAACCTAAAAACTGCAGGGAATGAATCAGTCTCTTACTATTACAATCCCAATGGCCATATTTAGACATTTAGCCACCAAATGGACCAATGGAGTGGTGTCATAGGCAAAGATATGAACACAAGTTGAATTAACATCTCACTTCTGCCATCTTTTCTTATTAGTAGAAGTAAGAACATGTTTGTTGAAAACTTGAGAAGTTAATTAAGGGTAATGATGTTTGGAGGTTTAACATTTTCAGGAACACTTTGAGGTGTTTGTGTAGCACAGGGTGTTTACCAGCCGACTGTCTGTCCCAGAAGAAATGTAAAATTAATCATGCGGCATTGAATTTTTTCTCTAATGTGCTAAACTGATAAAATGTCTTCTTCCTGGGCTTTGTGCATGTATTTTGCTATAGGATTAGTTGAGAATTGTTGTGGTTGTTTTTTTTCTTTTTATCTAACATCTCGTAAAATTGGCAGCAATTCCAATTTATTGTAACAAAAATAGAAAATGCTGGTATTGTATGCAATAATAATTGTATTTACAGTATTAATTAAGTGCATTTTATATATTACATAATTTATATACACTCTGTGATTAGAACAACTACAAATACCTGTATGATGTAATTCAGTGCAATCAGTTAGTCCTGCAGTAAATACTATTTAAACTGTAAACATTAAGTTGAGAGCATTACTATATTGTTTGTGTGTTGACTCAACTCTGTCATAGTTTAATACAGGACAGTTGCATCAGACTGTATTCTAAGTAGATATTTATTACCAGAGTTACAAAGTGCCTCGCAGATACAGAAATATGATAAAAGCATTTGAATAAATAAACACAAGCAAAAAGTGTTTAACAAATAAGAACAAATCAAGGCAAGGAAGCATCAATAAAATGCCTTTGAGAGTAAAAAGGTTTTGAGATGAAGATTTAAAACACTGATCTGACCACAGGAGGAGGCACAGGAGTTTCTATCTTCATTTATCTATGTATTTTGCTTTATATGGTTGTGATAACATGCAAATCACTTGATACAGCTCAAAATGTATTTTAGAGACCATCTTCAATGTGTGTTTTTGCTTTTTACCTGCTTATATTCTGATATTCACACCCCAACGTCAATGATTAGCAATGAACACAAAAACACTGCTGTCACAGTAATAAAGACCAGCTTTATTTTGTCTCACAATAGCTAGATACATTTAAGGCTTTTCCAACAAAATGGATACAAGTGGTAAATCTTCCAGCTGAAAATCATTTCTGTGCTGCAAAAGGTTGTAAAACAAACATGGCATCACGCTTTGTTGTAATCATTGTTGTTCATTTCAGCAAAATGAGTTTTTCAGAACTGTTACTTAAAGGAACAAAAAAGTGCCTCGCTGAGAGATTGTTGCAGCATGTTTTGTCAAATGTCACAAACAGTTCTATAATATCCTTTTCTAGCAATAAGTGATGTTTAGTTGACTAAACCAACAACTATTTCTGCAACTTGTATGTTTCCTTTTTGTAAAATATGAAAATGATGGAATGAGACATCTTACTTAAATTCCCAAATTAATAACAAACAGACTCACATACAATGGTGACAAAACTGAAGTAGATGTATTTTCATTCAGAATATCATTAGAAATTGCCTGAGATAAAGGAATTCATCCACATGGAAAACACTTTAACAGAACAGGGTAGTAAATGAAACTGGGATGTTAAAAAAAGGTATCCAGTTACTTGAAAAAGCTTTGGACATTGTTTATGAAAAAAGAACTTTTTAAGTTCCTTGTTTTTCTCAGGGAAAGTGATACACGCTGTTGTTGTTGATGATACAAAATGTTTATATCCAGTTGCAATCCATTACTTCCACAACAGATAAACAAATATAATACAGTAATATCAAACTTAGACTCTTAGACTAGTGTTAAACTTGTCACAGCAATTTAATCTGCTTTTTACCAGCACTTCTAACAACAGCATTGTCAGTTTCTCATAGAGATGAATAATTAGCTCTGTTATAACCACCACTTAAATCATAAGTGACCTGAGGTACGGAGCAGTCTGTGAAGAAGTTCGGGAAGGCCAAAGTGCACAGTGCATTGTCCTCTATGGGCCCACCAGCCTCAGAGGGGCAGTAGACAGGAGGCTGGGATGGGCCTGTACGCAGGCTCCCACCTAGTTTCTTAGAGGCTCCTGAGCAGCTAGTCCAGGGCTCAGAGTAGAGGAGACCGCCAACTAAATGGTGAGCATCATACGAAGCAGGATCCGGGCCTCCCATCTCTGGCTGCACCCGGAGAGGCATGCTTTGATAAAGGTCCTGGTCACTAACCATGTTGCTGTAATCAGGCCCCAAGAGTTCGAAGAACTCTGCAGCCTCAGGATTGCCTCGTTCCAAGTCCTTCAGCGTCATCCCAGATGTGGAGCTGACTTTGGAGCAGTTGGCAGGCTCGGTAAAAAAAGAGGGGGGCAGATTGCGATGCCTCAGGGGTGGTTTCTTGGCTTTTTCACCCCTTATATCCTTCACAGGGCTGAAGAGGGCTGCCAAGCTCTTGCTCTGTAAGTTAGCCTGGACCCCATCACGCTTAGGTAGAGTTTTGCTCTGCAAAGGACTGGGCTGAGCCAGGGGCGAACCCTGTCTTTTAACTGGGGCTTCTGCTACGTTCCCTGGTGTTATAATGCCAGTGCACCTTTTGATTTGCTTCTGTAGATACTTCCGGTGGTTGACTTTCCTCTTGGATTTCACTGGCTTGTCCAGAGCCAGTTTGATATTGCTGGAGGCTGAGTCTATGAAGCTCAGCAAGTCCCTAGTGGTCTCTTTGTAGTCCTCATCATTTTCTGCCTCACCGAGGAGACTCCCATCCAGACTTTTCTCCACATCGTACTCCATCACGGAACCAGGGAAGCAGAAATTCATGAACTGAGGGTTCATGATTGCAGTCTGAACAGCCATTACTCTGTTGAGCCCAGCGGCTACACCTGTGGCATCCGCTGTGATCCCTGAACCAAACGTTTCTTCAGAGCATGTCTTTTCTCTCTGACAAACACTTGGTCCAGATGCTGCTCATGAAGTTCCTGTAAACATTCCAGAGTAGAAGTGAGGGGCTCAGAGGAAAGCAAGGAGATCTTTCAGGGGGCTGGACAAATGATGTCAGAACATCAAAGAGGAGGGGCAAAGAGACCACAAGACTTAACTCTTTGCTTGTGCCTGACCACCTGCATCTAAGAGGGATTTGTCTGAAATTCCCTGCTGAGTTGAAGACAATAACCTCCGTCAGGACTCTCCCCCTCTAGTTTAACTGTTTGTGTGTGCTTTGAACCAAAAACGCTCTCATGAAACTGGAGGTTATTACTGTAACAGTGAGCATAAAAGCCTTTAAAATCCCAATGGAGTATTTTTTCTGGGAAGAATTGTTATATACAAATCTCTCTATTAAACTTTAAGAAAAATGCGTTTTTTTTAATACATGATTATGAAATTAACTATGTTTAAATTAAAAAAGTTTAAGTTAAATACCCCCAAAATCCTTAACTCATCAGTGTCATTATTCATGGGATTCTGCATGCATTTCAAAACATTTTAACCGCTTTTCATTCATCATGCTTACGTATGTGTTTCCTATGTGGATTACCAAATAGAAATTAACTTGTAATCTAATTACTGTTCATTTAGGCACTGAAACAAACCAAACTATCAAATCAAGGCTATACAGTAGTGAGAAAGGCTTCTTTTCTGTGGGAAAATCTTTGTGCCCAAACAGATGGCACTATTTGGGAGAATCTTCCCAACTGCTTGCTTGTGTCTTAATCTGCTCATGGCAAAAGTTGATTTCTAGTGCATTCCCAGGCCAGTGGGAATTTCTGCCCTGGCCTGACAACTATTATGGGCTGCCTCTGACATAAAGCCCTACAGGGTCTAAATAGCCTCTATTCTTCGCCCGGCAGTGAAAGGGAGCTTTGTGCCAGAGATTCATTAAATTGCACCTCACAGCCCCTTCGTAAAATGGGTCTCAATAATGAACAGTCGATTTAACTAGAAAAGCTGCCGGAGCTGTTAAATTAAAGGGGAATAAAGTGCAGTTCAGGCTCAGTGTGCCAGAAGAAATGTTGACCTTAAGAAATCCTGGGTATGAAACTTCTGTTGTAAACAATAACGTATTTACAGGAAGTTTCTTGGCCAGCAGTGAATACAATGGAGGATGTGTCCAAGAGCCAGATTGTTATGTTGCCAGCACTTATCCCAATTTAAGTGGAATTTCAAGTGAATTTTGAGTGTAAGGTCTGGACTGTTCAACATAGCTTAACTATTAAAAAAATGAGTAACTTAAATGAGTAACTCTGCACATATTTTCTATTTGTTTACCAGACAAGTGACCAAATTATACTTCATGTATTATTCTTACTTTAAGTCAAGAGATGTTGCAGCTGAATAGTTGAAAGAAGAAGACTCTTTAAAAAGTGCATGCTGAGGTGAGGCAGTGACTTATTTAAGAGTTTGAGGGATGAAAAAAAAAAAGTCTGAAGCAGCGAGGGAGTGAGGCCGTTAAAAAATTCTTTCTTATGTTAATTCCTGGGGAGAAAAGAGACAGTGAAACTGATAGCACTGATCTAATTATCTGTGGCCCAACACAAGTATGTGACTGAAAAGCAATCCAGAAAAACTCAAATCTATGAGCAACAAATTGAAACAAAGAATATCTTTCTGTTTATACAGCTTCCCATGAAAGACCTTCTGTTATTACCTAGAAGACAAGAATTTAAATAGGGAAACTGCACAGACTTTAAAAATTCAGATGTACTGAATTCACCTGCTTTTAAAGCCAGACACTCATTTGTAAATTCATAACTTTTAGTTCATAGCAGGAGGAAAATGCAGGTCAGCTGCAGCCATATCACGACATCTCATGAATTCAGTGGAGGAGTACTGAGCTTTTAACGCCTGCCCAAAGTGATTTTGCCTTCCTCTCTTTGCTAGCAGCACAATTTTGGCAAAGTGACATCATCACAGTCATGGCAGCCATATCCCCCCTCTTTCTCCAGTCAAGGAGCTTTGGCTTTTGTGCTGGTGGGTCATTCACATCACAGAGCCTGACGCACAGATCCCGGAAACAAGTTTCTATTGTTGCATAAAGGCTGAGAGGGCGAGACGGGGTGGGCTGTGGCAGACTAGCTCTGAAAAAATGTATGAACTGAGAGCACCACTGAGGAGCTTTTCGCTTGTTTCCAATCTCAAGACATTAAATGTGATGTTAATTGTCATGAAGTTTAGTTTAAATCCCTATAATGGACCAGTGTTTATTTTAGCATTAATCACCTAGGTTGACCTATTGACTGAATTTTCAAAAACTCATTATGCTTGGACCTTTGGGGAATTTTAATTTGGAGAAAATCATTAGTAATCTGCTGTGGCTTTCCCCCACAACCAGCACGTTGTTAAGTACACAGATCCATATTGTTGAGATATTGTTAAACATTACCACCACGCCCTCTGTCCCTGAGAATTTACTTATTCAGCAGCACCCAACCCCAAAGGAGCAGGGTGCTCAGTGCTACATGAGGTGACACACACAGGCTTAATCTCTTCCTACTAGTGTGTGGTCCCTGTCTGAGCAGGGACATACTCAGAGTTTGGGGTCGAGCGAATACTAATAACACCTTTGATTGATGGCCAGTGTCAGACACTTAGAAAAGGCTGGCAAAATTAATGACCTCTCAAAGTCCTGAGAAAAGTTTAAGGACGGCATTTAGTGGCAGAGACCCCGTCCTCCCCCATGTTTATCTATGTTTCTTTCTACTGGGGTGTCTGAAATCCAGTCAAGCCTGTGACAAAATGTTGAGAAGTCAGGCTTTGTGTGTCCTGGTAGAAAATCAACCCACATACCAGTGCAGGACATGTTCCCCCCCCCCCCCNNGCAGGACATGCCCCCCCCCCCCATCTTCTTTACAAAGTCATATCATGTCAGGAACTTTTGCTTTAAAAGATGAGGGGGAGAAAAAGAATTGGCCAGTATAGTTCAAAGAAAATTACAAAGCAAAAAGATGCGTTTTCATTGCCACTCAAAGTGTTTTAGTCTTAGTATTTTCATGACATTTGAGTCTTTTAGCTTGACATTTGGAAAAGAAAGAAAAAAGAAGTGACTTTACGGTGAACTACAAAAAGCTTCTTGGTCCCTGCCAAATCCTGCATCCACTCACCGCCTCACTCTTAACCTTCTATCAACCCTCTCCGGCACCCCAGGAGTTGTATTAATAATATTACTGGCAGGGGGGAACAAACCAGGGTCTATGGGCTGCCTTGGTGCTGCAATTTAGAGCTTTAATGGCAACCAGTGAATGAATGCGTGCCAGGGGGAATCCCACAGGTTGGTCCACAGGGGTGAGGTCAGCAGGCGTAGATGCAATAACCTCCCACCACTCACTTTATTGGCCTCCTCCGATTGGGTTTTTATTAAATCTCAAGCACATGCAATTGTTCCTGCTAGGTGGAAGTAACTTAAAAGCCTCAGTCTCTCTTAAACACCCCAAAGAGTCTGCTCAACAGAACAATGGTATGTCCATGTATGATTACAAGACAATTAGAAAGATTATATGACAATATGATTTGTATCTTTTTAATAATTTTCACTGGCAGACGTGTTTCTTGGGTATGACAGCATATCTAATAAAGGCGGTGTAAGACATAAATAGAAAACTTAAAAGACAAAAGGATGGCACCGTTCTCCTGTGAGCAACAGCAAATTTAATATTACACTCAGTGCAGTGGACATTTTCTTTATATTTGGTGTCAAACATTTCTCCTGAGACTTATTTAGGTGTACTTAAGCATTTTACAGTATACATAGAACAAACAACAACAATGGCAAAATCAACAAGACTGACAAAAAAACTTTTTTCAATGTGTCAAAAATCCAATTTAAAGATGTGAAAAACTCTGAATGTATCCCTGATTGTAACACTGACTGAAAACACAAAAACACAAGCTTAGAGGCAAAGAGAGTTTTGGTAACTTTAACATGGGAGGAAAAACATAATGAGAATGGCCGAGGCTTTTGATGATGATAATGCGATTACATGAATAAACAACCAAAGATATTCACAACTACAACATTGTTATCAAAGGTTTTTTCATGACAAACAGATCAGATTTTACAGTACCTTTCTGTCTCCAAGCCCTTTATACATTTAAAGTTTGGCATAAAGCAATGGAGTGTGTCTAACTGGGTCAAAGAAAATTGTAGTTTGATACTCCAGCACTGATGGCCACATGATTAAGATTAAAAAAACACCCTCAAGTGATTGGCATTGTTATTAAAATCAAGAGCAATGTTCATTTTCTAAAATAAAAATATGTAATTTAATGTTAATAAAATCATCTGATTAAAAAGAAACTTTGGTATGACAGCGAGAGCACCCTGTGAAAAACCATGGCATGCAAAGTAAACTAGGCAATCCCAGTCGCGTCACATTTTGCTTCTTTTAGGGCCTAAGAGGTCGATGTCTTTTTAGCCTGCTTGATCCACTCTCGAAAATACTTCACTTCTAAGGCCCGTGCAGCGCGGACTGAGGGTGGGTCGTGGTCATTGTTGTAGCGGAGGTCCAAATGATGGGCTCCATCAGGAATCATAATAGAAACCAGAGAATCTGTTATGTTGTAAGTCACTCCACCAGCCGACCATGGGTCAAGTCCTCCGTTACTGAAATACAACAGCAGAGATAAGTGTGTGGTGAAAATATATGATCAGACACTTGTGTACAACATATTATGGAATTCAGTTAGGGCTCGGGGCATCAGCAAAGCAACACGAAACCATAAATGGTGACTTCTACGTCACAGTGTGTGTTCTGTGAACTGTCGATGTCTTGTAATGTCTTATATTTCCATATAAACGCTGGGAAAACAAACAAACAAACCAATTTCAAGCACAGCACAGCTGTCAACCCCCCACATGGGCTATTAGATACAAATTAAAACTGCTGGTAATTTTTGGCAGCACTGTTTTAATAGGCATATGTTATGATTTTATTTTTTTTAAGATGCTGAATGCCAGACCTTTTAATAGCTTGACAATAGCTGCTAATTGGTATTCAACCTAACATGACCCACCCCAGTGGTTATGATTGAGCTACATCAGAGTCGGTGCTTTTTCATTTAAGTTTTACATACTTCTGTCTACCTCCTGTCGCTACCCAGGTGGGCACTCTTAATTTCTCTGCAATAAAAGTCAATCAAATTCTGCACTTTAATTGCTGTCACTGCACTAGACAAACCCAGAAAACACAGGGAACCTTCTGCCTGAGTCTGGTATAAGGGATGTTTACCTGAAGATGATGTTGCTGTGAGAGGTGATGTCCTTCCCCCCGTAGACTGTGCCAGCCCAGTCAGCTCGCGGCCTGACACCAAACATGAAGTTACACCCATCAGAGAAGGCCTGGAAGTTCCACTCCTCAGGTTCAAACATGTCATGGACGCCATCTGTGCACATGGGCATCACCATCTCGGTGCAGGCCTGGGGATGAGGGATTGAACACGTATTCACTGTGACAGGTAAAGCTGCCCACTGACACATCTGTGCAGCGATTTATTCAGCATGACAAGACTGATCCCTGCACTCTGTGTGTACCGCACCTGGTAATACCAGCCGAGGAAACCGAGGCTGCCGGTTGCTGTCTGAGATGTGTTGAGACAGGAAGAGCTTCCGGTGTAGTTGTAGTAGACCTTGGCCGCTTGGGAGACACCGTGCAGCAGCTGGTAGTCAGAAACGGTGGAATCGAAAGCAAGATACTTGCACACCACCTTGGAAACATGACACAATAACAAGCAAAACACAAAATTAACTACAGGTTTGTGAATGTTAAATTCATTAAAGATTTCATGCATTTTCTTTTGAAATTACATTGAAGAGAGAAATTTAAACTTAAACAAAACTAATTCTCTTATATCTGTATTGTTTGCAAGACTGAAGTTTACTCTTAGTGGCCCATAAAGTGTTTTTCCACATAAAGTGGTGGCGCCTGATTTGCATATGAAATTCCCTGGAATGAACTTGAATTTATTGCTCTAATCTTGGCACCAGAGGAAAAAACATCCATTTACTTAAAGCCAACAATATAAAAGATTTTAAATTAACGTTTTTTGCTCTCATTACTACTGTTTTGTTTGACCACGGTTGATTTCTCGGAATTAATAGCGTGAATGATAAATATTTGAGTTTCAGCTTTTGTTTAATTTCGCTGCGTGTTGTTATGGTTGCAGCAGCAAAGTTGGCTGTGGCTGTTGTTCTGCACTCTTTGTGAGGCAAAGAAACTGGGCTTTCTTGTTTAGAGGTTGGAGGGGAGCTGCACTAGTGTGGAGTCTGTTACTAAGGCTTTTGTCTGCGGGCTGGGGAGGAGTTGGTGGTCGATGGATGAGGAGGGCCACAGACATGTCCAACCAAAGATTTATACCGTGAAAAAAAACACTGCAATTGCTCCAAAGCATCTTCTCCTTACTTTTCAGATAGGATTAGGCTTATACATTCATCTCTGCCAACAGATTTCCCTCCTCTAAGCCCTCAATACCCCGTTCTCACACTCACTCAGATAATCACATTAGCTTTGTCATTAAAAAAGCTCCTCTTTGCACCCACTGCCTAAACCGCTTAAACCACCCATAGGGGTCGCATACATTAAAGGCAAGGAGCCAAAAAAACTAAAAATGACCATTTAGTGTTTATTTTACCTTACATGGCGCTCCTGGAACTATTCAGTGGCTAAATGATGAACAAATAAGCAAACAAAAAATGTATCACGCTAGTAAAAGTTTTAGTGTCAGCCTGCTCTATGGGGCCCTCGGAGGGGTGTTGAAGAACCAAACAGAGAGTCGGGGGTCAATAGCAGAGCTTGGTTTATGCACGTGACATGCCAAGGTGACTGGTAGAATACACTGCACCCAAGTCAATCAGCAGTGGCAGAAAAGCCGCTGTACTGTCACAAGCTCTTTTACATAAAAACACAGGAGGTTTTGTAATGTTGAAAACAGGGAAGAAAGTTTAAAAAAAACTTTATTTTGCATTAGCCACATTAAATGATTGCAGTTTTTGTTTCAGTTTTGGCAAGTAATTTTTCCACATCAAGTGTCTAGTGAAGTATTTGTTACAGTCTTATTCAAATGAGAGTGGTGGAACTTTGTTTTAATGGCCTCATGAGCTGCTCTGGGCAAATGTCCTCTTTCTGTGGTGCCATGTGAGCGTCCTAAGAGGAACACCTCAGAGATCTGACGGAGTGTGCAAATGAAAGGACCACTGGTACAAGAGAAGAAAAGAACGGTGGCTTACTTGTAGCTGCTCATCTAAAGAATACTTAAAATCTAAAAGAAACTAGATCCTTATGAATATTAATGAAGTAAATTGACAGCTGTTGTAAACAAAAGCTTGGAAGAGCACAACAAACACTTGTAACACAATCGGCTGAATCACACATTCATTTCAATTAAGGACAGGCTGTCAGGCCAAATCGGGCGCTTAACCAAAGACAAACAAAATTTAAAAGTTGCATTTAAGTACAAACCGTTTAGCTTTTAAATCTATTTGAAGTTTAACTACAACTTTTGGTTCATGCTAGAAAGCAACCACTGTCACACCTTTTTGAATTGCAGATACAGTATTTTTTTTTTGTATATTTTTTGGGCTTTTATTGCCTTTATTTTAGTGACAGCTGAAGACAGACAGGAAAGGGGGGCAGAGAGAGGGGATGACAGGCAGCAAAGGGCCGCAGGTCGGATTCGAACCCTCAGATACAGTATTTTACTAGAGGCTGTACGTACCTGGATCGGCCAACGAGGAAGTGGCTGAAGAAAATTTGCTTCGTAGGGGTAGTCTACCATAGCCAGATTTACCCAAGTCTCCTGGAGCCAGTTCTTGAAGCCAAAAACCTCATTTTTGTTTTTAAGAGGGGTGCATAAACTGAATTCTTCTGACATCCACTGAAGGCCAGCCGCTAGTCAAAAGAGAGAAAAGAGAGCATAAAGGATTAAATGTCATTACATTAGTAATTCCTTTTTCATGTGAACTGCTCTGTCCATATTATCATGCCTGTCTACAACTATATCCACTACATTACTGGGTGCTAAAAGTTGACTTTGACGAAGATAAAACAATCTTTATTTAGTTAGAATTTAACAACTACAGCTCCCATGGGTCTTCACATGTGAGATCAAAGCTGACAGCGCAAGCCGCTAAATACTAATAAAATAACAAACATTTTATTGTGGTTCAAGTAACAGGCTGCTCAGCATCTTCTTCGTCATATCTTTTTCAACTTTTTCAGTCCTCAGTATTTTTTTGGGACAGGTGCAACCAAAAAACAGCAAACAAGTTGACAACCATCATCCATCATTTGAAGCTTCTGGGTCACTGTGATTGGCTAAAAAAGTAACCACCATCACTCAGCATGTCGTCCCTGTTTAACTATAGTTTGGCGGATAATGACAAATGCCCGGCTATTTCAGTACTTGCTTACTTACACTGTAATGTGATGGTGTTGTTTTGAAATCTCCTTGGCTCCAATAAATGAGTGGAGTGACATGTTCTGTACAAAAATAATAACAGCATGTGGAATATTTCTTCCTTTGATTTTGATATTACCTTAGGGATGTTTTCAAACTGCATTTTGAAAATATGGGATGTGAATGAAAGTGATGAGATGGACTTTTTGGTACCACTTTGTAATAAAGCATCATTAATCTGATTCAAATGATTTAGAAGGTGTAACTAATGGCTTTATTTATTGTTGTTAATCATTCACTAACGCATTATAGATTAGTTATAAGCCATTATAAGAACAACACTTTTGTTGCCAGGTCATCGACAATCATCATCCAGCTTTACACTTTCTTGCTAGCTGTTAAATTCATTGAAAAGTACCCTCAAGGGTGCTGTTTGTCCACCAAAATTCATTTATTAACAACTCATGTATTAAGTGTTACATTTGTAGTGTCAGGGACAAGTGATATGCTCGAGGAGGATATTCTATAACTTGGCAGCCTGAAAGTTAGCTTATACCTCTGTTCTATAATGCACTAGTAAATTATTTAAAAGCAGCATTATTAGAAAGTGGTGTCGACTTCTTTATTGGTTTACTATTACCACTGACGGTGTGACAGGAATAAAAAAGCACCACTCAGTTCAATAAAGCTTATTCCTACAGTTTAGGATTGTGATAATGAAAAAGGTACCAGGGGATCCTGTCAGGGGAACACTGTCTTATTCAGGTCTGAGTGGAATACTAAAGAACTAAGATAGTCTGAGTTATGTATGTTGTAAATTTTAAGGATCCGTCTTACAATCTTTCATCTGTGGAGAGGCACAAGATTTTATATCCAATAGCACTACAAGTTTAAGTAACAGCTGTCTGGTTTCAGGCTTTAGCAGACAGTTAATTAAATTAACATATGGACCATATAGATAAACATGTACAAATTCGTATAATTCTTCCTCATAGATGAGATTAAACATGGCTCATATATTACTCTGAATAATTCTAACAAGTCCTGACAGATAAGATAAATCAACTCATCATGACTGTAAGACTTACCAGTAGAAGAGACGTTTTCGATAGCTTTCCACGACTTTCTGATGTTTGCATCACAGTTATACCCACTTTTGGCAAAGTCCTGTGTTACTATTTTGTAGAAGTCTCCACATGGCACCATACCAGGGAACTGCCATATTGGTGCGGAGGATGCAAGAGCTCTGAAATATGATCAGAAGCAAAACCATTTCCAAAATGACACAAGCTGCACATCCATTATGCTGCATAATCTGCATACAGTTTGTGTAACATTTTTGCTGGGGCAGCAGAGTGATTCCAATAGCAGTATAGAAGGTATGGAAGTCAATGGATTGAAAATCTGATACCTCATGTCACATGCTTCTGCCGTACCTGTGAGCAAGGGTGTGTAGCCTAACACGTCTTGTGTTTATTATATTTATTCACTGACAGCCAAAACTTAGGAAGAAACACTGAATAAGCACTCTGTCCAAAGAAGGCTGAACCCTCATTTGTCATTTCAGTCTCGAAGAGTCAGTTAAAATACAGTTGCCTGGTTCGGTACATCTAACCTGGTCCCCACATCTGCACTAACATCTTACCCAACAACTATATTAGGGTATTTCATCCTGAACCAGGCAGAGAGCATCCCTCCATAGGAACCTCCGACAGCGATGACGGGGCTATGCTGAGCTCCAGGTAAAGTGCTCTTCAGGTCCTGAATCAGCACTGCAAAGTCTGCCAGGGCCTGCTCTGAGGTCAGGTAGTTCAAGTATTTGCTGTCCTGCAAGCAAATGAAAATTATTGTTGTAGAATTATTAATGAATTGTCTGGGAGTGCCTAAGTAGCTGAATGGTTACAGTTCATGCCACACAGCCATCGGTTGGATTCCAGCTGGTGACCTTTGCTGCATGACACACCACTCTCTGTTCCTTTTTCCTGTCTGCCTCTTCTCCTGTCACTATCACACAAAGGCAAAAAAATACCATAAAAATGTCTGACAATTCCCACACAACCATAAACATGTAAAATGATTTACTGGCACTGGGAGTGAAATTTATTTTGGCAAATATTTTTACACTTTTAGCTACTAGCGCTTAATGCCTGGCCACCTTTGGCCAAACCAATTTGACAGCATTAATTTAGCTTAATTCGAAGAATAACATGTTAAAAACTGAAAATGAACATTTATAATTGAATGATCTGTTATGGCCACATTTTAGACTAACTGATTAACTGGTTTAAGTTTAATGAAACAAAACATGTCACCTTTTCAAAGCAAATTTTGATACATATGATGGTTTCTAATTAATCATCATATATGCACAATGGTTCAAGCAGACTGACAATTGAAAGGGCAAAAAGAGACAAAAATACCTCTGAGCAACAGTTAAATAAGAATATAAGAAATCATTTTTAAAAAGACATTTGTAAAAGAAACTGGAAGCTTAGTATCAAAAATCCCCGCAGATTTAAACAGGAACAGGTTCCTGTTTCAGTGCAAAATAATGTCTATAACAATCAGGAATTACCAGGCATGTTGCTTTAACAAAGATATTTTTAAAACTTCAGAATAGAAATAGAAGGTTGGTGTAGGGTGAGCGCTACTGAAATATCAGCTGAGCATACTGTGGACTGACAAATCACAGTTTAAACCTATTCAATCTGACCACTGAGTAGAAAGCAGAGGGCCCAATGAAAAACAGGTTCCCAAAAACTACAGCCTGGTTGCAAGCACTGTTGTGGTTAAGTAATGATCTAGGGTCACTTCTGCTTTTCTGGACTGGAAAAAATAAAAAATAAAATAAAAAATCGAAGGGTATTGGCTGGAAAAATGGTTACAACAGTATTCCCCATTGTCATGCAGCACTTTTGACTAAATGAAAGTTTGAATCATTTATTCTTAATGCCAAAACTATTTCAAGTGTAAATAATACATCTGGTGTCTGAATTATAGTCTTTTTATCTGTGTTAAAATAGCAATTATTGAAGGAGAGAAGAAAAACACCAATATTACAGGTGACCCCAATCTACTGAGCGGCAGTGTACAGACGCAAATGTTTTACTGGCTGGGAACCCCAAAAAGACAAAAAACATGTAATCAAACATCAAACAATCAAGTGTAAAGCTGCATCTCCACTTACACTGTACGAGTCTGGTCCAAATGGCAGGGACTCTCCATAGTAACGATGTTCTGCGAAAACCAGCATGGCGCCCAACTCCTCCGCAATTTCCCACATGAAGCCCTACAGAGAAAACAATGACAAGTGTTGAATTAGACTGAGGACTGTGCACGGTGTAAATACAGGGTAACAGATGGGGTATTTACAGTATTGTTGCAGAACCAGGTGATGTCGCCTTCATTGCCAGTGTAGAACAAAACAGGGCCTCCAGGCTGCTTCCAGTGTTTATCAGCCACAAGGTATCTCTGTTTGAAGGTGCCATCTTCCAGGAATCCAAAATGATCAATCTGTAACAAATAAAAACATGAAACCAAATAAAACTAATGTGTAATCCTAAATGTGTTCAGTTAAAACGTGCAACATGTATTAGTACATACTGTCTGCACACTTGAATACCTAATGTGGCAATCATTTATTGATGTTAATATCTACACATAGCATTTAAAAGGATGCAGTCTAGTCCACACAAACTGCTCCGAGCTGGATGTGATCAGTGGATACCTGGCCCCGTGCCAACTATGGCTATGGAAATGACAGTCTCGAGGCTGGATTCTAGGGTAATTAGCCCCAATTTGTATTAAAAAATGTTGGAGCCAGTTTAAGGGATGCCACATTAGTTCCACTTTAGATGAGCTCTGATCCTTTCATCAGACCTCAGGGATTCTGGGGTATCTTCCCATTTCAACTATATCTCCTGTCTTCCTGTCTTTATTAAACAAAAGCCGAAAGAAACCAACAACTTCAGAGAAGACAACCCCATGAGGCTGCCGAATTGTCCAACCCTTGAAACAGTCCCAACACTTAATACAAAATGTTTTTGTTTTGTTTTTCAACCCGTCCTCGCTCGCAGCCCCCCTCAGTGGATACAAAGGAGGCTGCGATTTTATGAGCCAATGACAGCAAAAAGATTCTGGGGCCTCAATGTGTTCATTCAAGCCTCGACTCCTTAGCTCTTGGCAGTGCTTTAAGTGTGAGGGGACTATGAGACAGTTTAAAGGAAAAGTTCAGCAGTTCGGCAGCAAAATAATTTTCAGTGGTATAATGTTAGAATTTTGTGAACAAAGCATTTAAGTTGCTTAAAGTCCTTCAAAAAGTCTATTTGTTTAGATTTTGTGTTATTTTCTATTTATACAAGGGTTTTCAAATGGTAGATGTCTGAATTTGGGAGTGAATCTCTTCAATTATTGAAAGCCAAATTCTCTTGCAATGCAAACAAAATATTCCTATACACTATGATGTAAATTCCCAAACTAAAGTGGTTGAGTATCTGAAGTGCTTCACCAAAAGGCCCCCTGGTGAGTATCACTTGCACCCACTCAGTATGCACATCACAAAACCTATGAGATTGGTTTCATAACAAATCCACACCCTGATAAGTAGTGCCACCATGTGGTTACTGAAGGCAGCACTTGTTTCAATTAAAATTCAGTCCACATACTGTACAACTACTGGACCAGGCCTTAAACTATTCTACGGGAAAATAGACTGTTGTGTTACAATCGAGCAAATGGAGACACGAGGGAAACAACCAAAGCACAAGCTCCAGTAAACTACAACAGTTCATTTGGAGGATGCTAAAGGACACTTCCATTCATTGTCCTGAGGCAAAATGCAGTCAAGAGGATTTCCTCTGGACAACTGCTAGATCACTCTGTGCTCTCCTCACAGCGGCTTGTCCCACGGAGAGTGCAGAAAAAGGCTGCATGATTGATGATTCTTTTGTAAAAACAGCAGACTTGCTACTGCTACTGAGGAAGGGATAACAGGGATTTTATTTGTTGTACTTGTCAAGAAGAAGCATACAATTTCTCGTTGATTACCCCCCAAAAAACCCCCCAAAAAAAACACATCAGACATGACAATGGGCTTCAGAAGGGAGGAAATGGTCTTTATCTTCTTGTCAGTGTGGCTGATTAGGCAGGATGTTGTGGGTTGGACCAGGTGTGGAGCATTGTCCCCTAATCCAAATACTGTTCAGTGCATCAACAGTGTGTGAAAATCTTACTTAGTACTGCAACTAATGGTTATTTTCATTTTCAATTAATCTGACGTATTATTTTCTTGATCGATCCATTAATTTAGGTCTATGTTTGGTCTCTAAAACATCAGAAAATAGTTAAAAATGCTCATCACAATTCCCTCGAGCCAAAGGTGACATAATCAATTGTCTTGTTTTGTCTGATCAACTGTCCAAACACAAAGATGTTTCATTCAAATTAACGTAAGAAAAGTAAAAGCAGCAAATCACCACATTTGGGGATTCAGAACCATCAAATATTTAGCATTTGTGCTTAAAAAAATACTTTAATGATTAATTGATGATCCTAACAGCTGCAATAATAACTCTCAATCTCTAATCTCTAAAAATACTAATCTTCTGTGTGTTGTCAATATACACTTTATATTAATTAATGTATTATTCTAAAGTGTCTAACTCGTGAATCACCTCACTAACCCATGAAACACTGGTTAAAACAGCATCAGGTGTTGTTTCTATTCACTTTTTCCGATGTCTACGAGCGTGGATTTGGCTTCCAAAACTGTTCGATGTCTTAAATGTTCAACTGAGTTTTAAGTTTGAGGGTAAATACAAGCAGATCCCTAGATGTACAGACTGTGTGGTTTGACTACACATGTTCAGTCTCTTTTAAAAACAAATCTCTAAGAGACAATATATGAAACCCAGATGAGGCAAAACTGTAACAAAACTGAGAAATTTTCAGTTATAGTCTCAGTGATCCTGACATTTTAGACCCTAAAACTATATACTTGTGGATAGATACACCTGTTTATGGAGCACCTGAATGCACCATCATGACCTGTGTTCAGATTCTATAAATAGCAGAGTGTTATAGTACTGTATATAAACTGAAGCAACTAATTAATTAGTAAATAATAAAGGTGGCTGCAAGATTCTGCCTTATAATGAGTAACTATAGTATAACTAACCATAATTAATTTTATTTACATGGTCATTCTTTAAATGTGATTAATCTGGCTTACCCTTTTCAAAATAAGAGTAATTAAGACACAAGCACAGTCTTGTGACCGTATGAGTCAGGTTCACAAGTCAGTAAACGTGATGCTGCGTTGCGTACCGCCGCACACGCTCAACATGCAATCTGATTCTCCATGAAGTAACAGTAAATGGAAAATGTAAAGGCTGAATGAAGATCTCTCAAACACACCCTGAGGTAAAGGGTTTCACATTCACTGGGCCCTGGAGACCTTTTTAGGCAGGGAGCCAGGAGGGATAGTTACAGTTCTGCTGGCAGGAACAGAGCCAATTGTGATGGTTTTCCCTTCACTACAGGAAGCAGGAGGGAAACACCTATTGTCTGCTGACACAACACATGAACAACCTCCACAGAATGAAGTGCACTGAATTTTTCAGAAAGAGCAAGTGGTGCAGATATTAGTAAACAGCAAACAATGAAGCCAAGTAATGTAGTGGTCAATTAAAAGTCAGCAAACTATAATTAGCCAGTGATCATCACATAATATAATCTGATATTTGATGCAGTATTTTAATGTTTCAGCCCAAATATGGGGGCCAATCTTACTTATTTGGACTCTTCTGCACTACTAAATTCAGGCCTTGTCAAGTAGAAATCAAATGTAAAAGTGAAGTGAAAGAGAAAGACTCAAAAGAGGAAGGAAAGTATGTAAAACATGAAATACAGTTTCCACAGACACATGTAGAGTTTTAAAAGTATAAGAGATTTTTAAACTCACCTTCTGGTCAAAATAAAGTGTTTCATAGCTGATGGGGGTCTCAGTGGAGTAAGGCGACCCGCCGAGCCTTGTGAAAAGTTGTGATTTGAGGGCGATCACGTGTAAACAACCGAGCCACAGCGTCAGCACGCAGGTAGCTGCAGCAGCTCTGTCCAAAAGCCCCATCCTGACTCCAGCCTGCACTGCTGCTACTGTCCGACACTGCTCACAACAAAGTGCCCCTCAGCACATGATAACGAGCTCTCTCTCTCTCTCTGTCTGTCTGTCTGTCTCTCTCTCTCTCTCTGTAGACCTGTCCCGTATGAGACAGGAAGTGAGACTGTCCTGTCAGCACCAGAGAGGTGTTGTCAAACAGCGTGAGAGCTACGTTGAGCTGGCGGAGCGCAGGAAGCGTCCGGTTCAGCGTCCTCTCTCAGCCTTTTAACAACTTTAATGTCACTCTAGCACAAAGCACACGGCTCCTACTGTAAATACACCCGCAAGGGTTGATGGGAGTCTGAGATGTGTGGCCACATGTGCGCGTCGTTGATGTTCCGCTCGCAAACAGACCCGAACCCGAAGCAGAAAAGTGGACCGGAAGCATGTGTTGATCCGTCGCTTGTTTGCTTCAGGTGTCACATCCCTAAAATTGTGTTTTTGCACCATCTGCACCGGTTTCTGATTTAAAGATTGTTATGAATACCGGAAATGTTACGGTATTTTATTCTGGAGGCAGGTCAGTGCATCACTACCTCTGCCCATGTTGGAAGTTTTACTTTTTAAGGACGTAGCGGAAGTACTAGTGTGCTGTCATGGCTGTATGGACTCTGCTTTGACTAATTGAATGTACATTTTTGTTAAAATGATATTAAATCTCAGGAACATCTTTTCTACACCTGTAACGTTGTTCAGCTTGTATAGGGCAGAATGCCTGCCAGGTTAGTTAGGTTACAGAGCATGTCATATCATAATGTTAAATTAAATCAATTCAAACAATATGACAAAGCAAGATATCTGAGGAAATATTTAAAATAAAGTTATCATAAAATGCAGGTATATGGTTAACGTTACATCACGTGACCACTGAATGCCATCATATTTCTCACATATAGGACCCTACCTGCTCCAGAACTGCTTCCTACTTTCTGTTCAAAATAAGAGCACATTGCACAACTCTAACCCATGACAGTATATATATATACTCTGACCACACTGTCAATGACTCTAACCCATGACAGTATATATATATACTCTGACTCAACCTCATGACACACAAACTGTTGAGATTATTTTATTTTAAATATTTTAATTATACAGATTTGACTTTTTAAAGCATATATGATATGTCTGATTTCCCCCTCTGTATTTCCTATAATAAAGTATCGAACATGTACGAAATATGTTAAAAGAACTATACAAAAGAAAAGAAAACATTTTTTTTAACCCTATAGCCTAAGGATAGGGGTGATATAAAACTGTAACTGATTGTAACACAGTACAAGCTATAGTTTGAAGTGATTTTTGTTTCACAGAGTCTCTAATTGAATAAATAAATAACTAAAACTCCTTGCTGAAGGTACCAAAGCTTCCTGCCTGTAAATGTACGTATATGGATGTGGAATCTGACCATTATAATAAGATGAATCATGTACACACTGTGTCCTTCTGTTGTACATCTTCCAGCAGACTAACCAACAGCAAGATAAAACCATCAATCATTTATTTTTAAAATATTTTTTTTTTTACATTTGGGTAATGCCAAAATAAATGCACAACTTTTTCTACATGCTCCCAAACAATCACTCAACCAAGACATACTGAAATGTCTGGTGGAGACTTTCAAAATAACACTTAAAAACCTGTAGAGATGTAGTTACGAACTGTGACCAGTAGATGGCACGACACATTTGTGTTTTTACATCACCACCTCCACAAGCGTTAAGGCAGCCATTATAGCATACTTACAGGCTAAAAAGCAATAATAACATGACAAATATAAGATATTTAGTGTAATTATTTAATGTTATACAGAGTAGTTTTCAGGGATTAATTTGTACACATAAAGGAAAAGAAGCACAACATCCCAATAGTGTTTTCCTTTGTATTTCCTATCCTTTGTGTTGACAAGAAGATGCAAAGGATCACCAATAAGTAACTGCTGTTAAATCTAAGGTAAAAGGCAAAACAAAATGCTCGCCAGTTGTACAAAGGGATTACTGAAAATAAAAAGTATAAAAGCAAAGTGCCAAGATGTACTACAAGTTTGTACAACAAAACACAAAATGTTACAATAAAAATAAGTGTGCAGTATATGGCATTGTGCAATACAGTACATTACAGTTATGGCAAATATATGAAAGATAAAGTTAGACACTACAAATTATGGCAAAACATGCTGGACAATCAAGACCTTTCACAATAAAAGTATATGAAGTACAACAAGTCATACGAAACTACATGAACATACCAGTTCAAACAAATAAAAAGTGATACAATTTCATGGCTAGGCAGCAACAACGAAGGCAGAAATATTCACGTCTATGGATAAAAGAAACAGCTGACAGTAAATAAAAAAAGTCAATTGATTAGACTGTTTATAATTTCTACTGATGACAATATCTGAGGCTTTTCCAACTGCTTCATACTATAACAACCGACTAATTGCAAGCACTGCGAGTATGCAAAAACAAAACAATGGCGTCACAGAATACTGTTTCAATGTAGTATTTATACTCCTGTTTCGGTTTACGTTATCTGACATAAAAACATATTTTAGCAGCAAGTAAAAATCTTCTACTGGGAACAAATATTTCACAGTTTGTAATGACAGGTGCAAATAACTACTCATAAATGAGATTATGAAAAGTTAATAAAGTTGTATGCAATCTTCAGAGCAGAAAACAATTAGTGGGAAATGGATGATTGTGCAACAGATTTTAGGGTAAGTTTGCGGAACTTTTTTTGCAACTTGATCATCAGACTTGGTAATCTCAAAACCGTACTGTATGTAAACATATTGTTACCATTTACTGATAACCTCCAATGATCGTGACACTTGTTGTCAGCAATGAGCAATCTGTAACAAAATACCTGGTAGTACTTTTTACTCACGTAATACTGCTGGTGAATATTGATGTTTAATGAAAATCCAACAGAAAAATTCTGCCATTTCACCATGAAGGGGACAAAATGGAACCCTACTCAGATTCCTGGGTGTGTCAGGCAACATACTTTATATCCTGCATCGAGGACAATATTCTCCATCATGGCAGCATCTTAAAATGCTTGTTCCTGGAAGGCCAAACTAAAGTTGACTAACCCCCTTGTACAGCTTAAAAAAGGCATGGGACTAGAAATGACGGGACTAAGAAGTGGCTTTATGCCATCTTGGAGGGACGGAGGCATTGGGGCTCGGCCATCTGCCCTCTACAGTCAATGGCTACTGAGTTACCACGGCCAGAAGGCTGAGCTCTCTCTAATTGAGGCTGCAGCAGCTCAAGTAACTGATGGTTTTACCCTCGCCGGGCATTGGGGCAGTGTCATTGTTATCCAGCTTGTTCTGCTTGGCCTCTCGAATGAGTTCGCAGGCCAGGTCGAGGAAAAGTTTCTCAACATTGTCGGACTCTTTGGCTGAGGTCTCCAGATACAGCATGCTCTGAGCCTCAGCGAAGTCTTCGGCCCTCTGTCTGAGAACCTCTCTCTTCTCCGCCAGGTCAATTTTATTACCTGTAAGACATATAGCATTCATCTGTCAACATACGTAAGTGGTAAGAATGTGGCTACTTTCACACAGTCTGAACAGTGGTGTGTGGGTGAGGATAAGACAGATGGAAGTGGAGGTGTACCTGTGTGCATGCATGTGTGGGATGGATGGAAGCAAAGACAGCATGTGAGCTTTTTATTCCAAACAAAAATGATTTCTTTCCTTAGGCGTGACAAAAATGTAACAGAAACCATGCAATAAGACAAAACTGGCTTTGTCTTCTGCAAATCTATTCAGATCTATATCAGCTGGGTAATTCACATTTAAGTGGGCTTCGGAAAACCAGGCCAGTTCCGGTAAAATATAGCGCACGTCATTAGTAATATTCACAGTTTTCTCACAATGAACAATGAGCCTGATGATAAAAGAGGTCCAGCGGTTATTAAAGTACAATGTAAAGCGTCTTACCGACTAATATAGTCACCACTTGGTTGTTGGCATACTGCTCAATCTCCCTCAGCCACTCTGGAAGGCACCTGAAGGAGTCCTCACAGGTAATGTCATATGTAAGAATGAGGGCGTTGGCACTACGGTAATAACTCTGAGTAATAGAGCGAAATCTCTCCTGTCCAGCCGTGTCCCATATCTGCAGCTGGAAAACACAAGATTTGAAGTGAGCAACTATTACACATCATAAATTCATAGAAATCTGATTTTAGATTTTTAAAAAACAATTTAATCTTTGTGTACCTTGACCTTTTCCCCTTTGATTTCCACTGTTTTAATCATGAAATCTACTCCAATAGTAGCCCCTTGTCCAGGTGGGAAAAGGCCCTAAAATAAAGAGAGAATACACAGTCTAATACACGAATACTCTTTAATGCAATAATCATTTCCAAACACATGAGCTCAGACTTATACAAACCTGAGTAAAGCGCCGGACAAGACATGTCTTCCCAACTCCAGCATTTCCTATCAGAACTATTTTGAACAGGTAGTCATAATCTTCCATGCTCATGCTAAACTGTGAGAAATAAAGGAACAAAAGAAATGGGTGATAAGTAAATGCATTAACACTAAATCACTGCATTTGACTTATGTTATCACATTTGTTTTCCAGCACATGTTCAGTGGATACGAGCACAATTCTAAAAAAAAAAAAAAGTCCTGAAGATGCTGAGGAAACTACCACCAAACTGTAATGAAAGTGGCGTACAGGCCGGGATCCTCTGGAGAGATCACAGCTGACATTTGACCTCAATAATCTTCACTAACACAAATCAGAGGAATTGTGAGCTAAATACGACCTGGTTCGGATCTGCAGAGAATGAGCACTGAATGATAAAAATAAATGTCCACTTTGCGAAACCACAATAAAATTCAGTTTAATAAAATGTCTATTAATGTGGTAGTTACACCTCCCTATCCAACAACTAATATAACTCATAAAATACACATTGGATCAAATTGTATTCTGATATATCATTATATATTTACATCAAGGCCTCAAACACTGAGCACAGTTTCCATTTCTCTTCTCCACCTTTACATCATATGAAATGTGCACAACGTGAGATTCCTCATTATGTTTGCCCGGCGCAGTGTTTAGGGGGCCTCGCATCACTTTCAGGGGATAATGGAGACACGGAGGCTCCAAACACTGATGTTGAGTGAATACTCCGCAAAATGAAGCACGTTAAGAGGTTGCGACTAACGGGTCTCTGTTTCTTTTTTTGTGTCCACATGTAAGGTGCATGTAAACAGGGATGGTAACGTACAGCTTTAGTATTATCCGCCGTACCGTTACAGCTGCTCCGACACCCGCACCGTGAGCGGGGCCTGTACGTGCGTGAAAACTAAATCTCTCATTGTAAA